ATAAAGTTGGAAAAGTTCTACATTTAGGCAAGAAAGACCAAATGCACAGGTATAGTGTTGGTCAGGGATAGACAACCTTGGCCTCCCTCTGTGAATGAAGCCCAGCACTGTGTTGGCTTTTTGGCAGCTGCAGCACACGGCTGACTCCTATCTAAGTGATTGTCCACTAGGACTCTGAAGTCCCTCTGACAGTTACTACTGTTGAGCAAGGTACCCCCTATACCAGTGATTCTCAACCTTTTTAAAGCCGCGACCCCCAACCGGTCGTAAGTCGAGGACTACTCAACCGGTCGTAAGTCGAGGACTACTCGACTGGTGCAGCACCGTTTGCAGAATGGGACTTTTGGCGGGCTCAGCAGGGCAGAGACAGCCTGGACAATTCCTATTGGCTTTTGAAAGCCAATAGAAGTAGACTCTATTCAAGAGAGTCTATTCTATTGGCTTGCAAAAGCCAATAGAATAAAAGGGAGTAGCACAGCTAAGGAAAAGGGGGAAAAAAATGGCGGACTGCGTTGTTTGGCGACCCCCGTGAAATGGTCGTTCGACCCCAAATGGGGTCCCGACCCACAGGTTGAGAACCGCTGCTCTATACTATAGCTGTGCATTTGTTTTTTCTTGCTTAAATGTAGAACCTTACTTTTTTCACCACTGAATTTCATTTTGCTAGATAGCGCCCCGTGTTCAGCCATTTGTCTGCAATGGTGTAGGGTTTCCTGCCTGGGCAGGGGGTTGGACTAGAAGATCTCAAAAGTCCCTTCCAACTCTGTTATTCTGTTGTTCCCCCTTTGGCTGAGAAGAAACTTCAGATTCCTGAAGAACCCTGGACATTTGCAAGAGCTTTCGCAGCCTTCTGGAAGCAGATCCCATCTGATCAGCACCCAGCCTGTGAGAAATCCTGCTGCGAAAGGGACATATGTTTGCGGATCTGCCCCAGTTGGGGGTTGTGTTTGGTTTTCCTTGGCACATATTTTATGGGTAACAAACTGCTTATGCTCTCATCAGGCTCCTTGGCAAAACAGCCACACCTTTTCCTTCCTCCAAAATAGTTGTGCTGCAGCCAAGTCGCCCGACAGATTCTGCTAGCAGCTCTTTACTCAGAGTTAATTGGAGCCTCTTACTTGGGACATTAAACCTTTCCTGGAATGTGAGATACACCCTCTTCTCCCTCCCCTCCCCCTGTTCTCCGGGGGGGGGGGCAGCTGCAGAAGGAAAGAACCCAGCCCTTGTTTCCTCCCCTTTGTCCTCACCAAAGACGATGCTGGTTAGCAGAATAACAGAACGACAGAATTGGAAGGGACCTTGGAGGTCATCTAGCCCAACCCCTTGCTCAGGCAGGAAACCCTACACCATTTCAGACAAATGGCTGTCCAGTCTCTTCTTTAAAACTTCCAGTGTTGGAGCATTCACCGCTTCTGGAGGCAGGTTGTTCCACTGGTTAATTGTTCTCACCGTCAGGAAGTTTCTCCTTAGTTCCAGGTTGCTTCTCTCCTTGATGAGTTTCCATCCGTTGCTTCTTCTCCTGACATGATAACAGTCTTTCAATATTTGAGGGGCTTCCACAAAGAACAGGGGAATCAACTTATTCTCCAAAGGACCGGGAGGCAAGAGAAAAAATTAATAAGAAGAGAAGCAATCTAAAACTAAGGAGAAATTTCCCAACAGCGAGAATAATTAACCAGTGAAACGACTTGCCTCCAGAAGTTGTGGGTGCTCCATCATTGGAGTTTTTTAAAGAAGAGACTGGATGGCCATTTGACTGGAATGATATAAGGCAGGGGTAGGCAACCTTGGCTCTTTTATGACTCGTGGACTTCAGCTGGCAGCTACTTGTGGTAGGGTGGCGGGAGAAATTTGGAAGAAGGAATCCATCTGCTCGTTCTGCATAAAGGCAGAGTGATCTCCCCTGTGCATTCTGCCTATTGCTCAAGCTTGTCTTGATCCTTTCCTGCCTTGGGAACCATCTGCAGACCTAATAGGGATCCCTCAGTTAGTCTAAAGAAAAGAAGAAATAGGGGAAACATGATAGCAGTGTTCCAGTATTTGAGGGGCTGCCACAAGGAAGAGGAGGGGGTCAATTTATTCTCCAAAGCACCAGAGGGCAGGACAAGAAACAATGGTTGGAAACTGGCCAAAGAGAGAAGCAACCTGGAATTAAGGAGAAACTTCCTAGCAGTGAGGACAATCAACCAGTGGAACAGCTTGCCTCTACAAGTTATGGATGCTCCCTCACTGGAGGTTTTTAAGAAGAGACTGGACAGTCACTTGTCTGAGATGGTATAGGTTCTCCTGCTTGAGCAGGGGGCTGGACTAGAAGACCTACAAGGTCCCTTCCAGCTCTATTCTATTCTATTCTATTCTATTCTATTCTATTCTATTCTATTCTATTCTATTCTATTCTGCTCTAATTCTGTTCTATTCTATTCTATTCTTAATTCTATTCTATTCTTAATTCTGTTCTATTCTATTCTATTCTAGTCATCCCAGCTATTGCAGAGCAGCAAAGGCTGAGGAGTTCTGGGAGTTGAAGTCCACAAGTCTTAAAGTTGCCACACTTGGAGACTTCTGGTCTTAGGCCATATTTTCTCATTTTATTCCGCAGAACAACAGGGCTCTTCTGTTGGAGCCTGTGCCAATAGCCCTTACGGACAGCATTTCTCTAATCTAGTAACCGTTTAAGAAGGAGATAAAGTTCAGTGTGACACGACCTCTTTGACACAACCTCAGGTTGGCTTCAGTGATGTGTCGCCTGATTGTCAAAGCTCTGATAAGATATTGCTGAATAACCTGTTCAAAGGTGTGGACTAGCCTGGACATCCAGGTGACAGGTCTAGAGTTCCCCAGGTCCTCCTCCCCCCCCTCCTTGAAGACACAACTGAGTTTGCTCTCCTTGTTTTGGGGGACCTCACTGGTCCTCCAGGAGTTTTCAGAAAATTTGCCAGAAAGACCCAAGTCCAATAATGTCGCAATTAAAGTGGAATTCCAAGAACACAGAACATCCCTTGTCCCTATGTATGATATCATGCAACACGCTAACCCAAAACCTGGGTTAATGATCCACAGGGCTCATGTTGAAATCATACATCACCCAAAGTTGCTTTTTCAAAGGGCAACTGACTTTGTTTTTCCTTGAAGAAGTTTCACTTCTCATTCCAAAAAATTCTTCAGTTGAGTTCTTGGAGGAAAAGGGAAACGTCTTCAAGGAAAATCAAAGTCCAGTTGCCTTTTGAAAAAGCATCTTTGGGACAACCGTGACCTGGATGACTGGGAATCCCCATAGATATCATACCTCATCCATTTTGTGGCCTAACATGATGGGTTGGTCCAATAACTGGAGCTGGCCACAATTCATTGCCTGGTTCCTACAACAGAATCTACCCCACCCCTATTTTAACCTATAGTAGTGGTATGAATTCCACAAATGCAGCCTCTGTGTGACCAGAAGTGGCCATCCTTCTGTAGATGCCACCTGATAGGCTGAACTCCACAAGGAGAATGGAGAATGGAGGTCAGCAATTCCTTTGAGGGCCATGAATGGAAAGCTGGACATCTTGCAAGGTCCATTCTCAAGGAAGGCTCACATTGGAAAGTATTAGATAGGATGGAAACTAATCAAGGAGAGAAGCAACCTGAAATTGAGAAACTTCCTGACAGAGAGGACAATTAACCAGTGGAACAGCCTGCCTCCAGAAGTCGTGGGCGCTCCATCACTGGAGGTTTTTAAGAAGAGACAGGACAGCCACTTGTCTGAAATGGTTTACGTTCTCCTGCTTGAGCAGGGGGTTGGACTAGAAGACCTCCAAAGTCCCTTCCAGCTCTTCTCTTCTCTTCTCTTCTCTTCTCTTCTCTTCTCTTCTCTTCTCTTCTCTTTCTTCTCTTCTCTTCTCTCCTCTCCTTTCCCTTATTCTCTCCCTTATTCTGCTCTGTTCTGTTCTGTCTAATAGCGCTAAGCCAGTCTCCTTCCTTTGAATCTCTATAACTAAAACTCCAGGAATCTGGCAGAAGCAAATATATTTCTTATGCAATAAATATTATTCTTGTGGTTGCAAGCTAGGCTTGTTTCCCTCCCGCCCCCACAGCTAAGAACAGCCCAGAACCTGCACCAGAATGAGCCATTCCTCAAGCCAAAACAATGAGTGTCAGGTTGAGTCACAGGTTCTGTTGGATGTGAGAATCGGCATGAGTTGCACCTCCCTCTTTGGCTGTGTGCTTGCAGTTAATTCTTAGAATGCAGCTTTCTCCAGGCAGAAAAAAAAAACACGGTGATGTCACTGTTAGTATTATTATTACTGCGGTTATTAGCCACACAACGTGGTCCCTTAAAGTCTTAAAGTGCCAACAGCCTCCATCTTGGAGCCATGATGGAGCTGCTGTGGCTTTCCAAGACTTGCTGTGTCCCTGTCCATGGAGGAGATCTGCTGCTTTCCTCAGAAACCTTCCTCGGGGTCCTATCTGGGAAGAGAGGTGCACGCAGCCCCATCCTAACCAACGACGGACGGCCTTTTTCAGAGATCTGGTGCATGGAGACGGTGAGGTCCTCAGCTACTCTATCAGTCTGTTCCTAGGCAGAGAAGAAGCAGGGAAAGCTTTGGGAGAGGGGAGTGTCAAAGGTCAAGGAATGGCGCTCTGGGCAGGGGTTGGTTTGAAAGGCATCTGCCCTGTGACTTTGAAAGTGTTCTCCGGGCCTGGATCTGCATACACTGGACCAGTTGTTCTAATTCTGCTGGGTTGCCTAGCACATCTGTACATATCACTCTTCTAATCTACCCGGTGGCCTCTGGAGAGTCTGTCTGTTTATCTGTGTCTGTCTGTCCATTCATCTATCTATCTATCTATCTATCTATCTATCTATCTATCTATCTATCTATCTCTTTCATTCTCTCTCATTCCGTTCCGTTCCATTCCATCCATTCATTCATTCACTCACTCACTCACTTACTCACTCACTCACTCTTTATTTATTTATTTATTTATTAAATGTATATGGCTGCCCAGCTCCCGCACAGTGACAGAGCAGCTTACAGAAGTAAAACCCCAAACACAAACTCACACGAACCCCCTTGTCCCTTGGTGACAACAGTCAAACTGACCACTGGAGGGACTCAGTATCCCCCTGGGGTCCCCAGGCCCTCTGGCAGAACCAGGTCTTGGGGCCCTTTTGAAAGAATGTCAAGATGGGAGACAATCTTATCTCCGCAGAGGTGATGCTCCACAGGGAGGAAATCTTTTTTCTGTGTCCCACCAGGCGGGCCTCTTTAAGAGAGGGGACCCATAACATCCCCTGCCTCCTTGCTCTGGTGAGTCAGGTAGATGTAACTGGGAAAAGACAGTCCTTCAAATAGCAGGGAGGGAGCCACCTTGGAGAAAGCCCTTCTTCTTGGTCCCACCAAATGGACTTCCTCAAGAGAGGGGACATGAGACATCCCCTGCTTTCCTGCTCTGATGAGTTGGTAGATGTGTGATGAGTCTCCCAGATGCCTCTCCAGATGTCAGCTTGGAGGAAGATGAACCAGTTCCAGGCATGTCCGGAGGGAGTTGGTCAAGGGCTCCAAGCAGCCATCCGAGAGGGATTTGGCTAAAGCACAGTGGCAGCAGGACAGTTTGGAGGTTTCAGATGGGGGAAGCATGTAGCTGCAGCCAGTCAGGGATGAGGAAGAGGAGCTGCCTTCTGCACCTGATCCAAGAACAGGTAGGATAGAGAAAAGGCAGGAACAGTGAAGGTCAGCCAGATTACCTGTGAGGAGGCCGCCTCGTCCTTCTTGATGGGCTGCACCAGAAGTTGGCTATTTAGCACAGCAGACAAGTGGAGACAATGCTGGGAACGTGTTTTCTTGATGTGTGTTTGAACAGAGGGGTTGATGGAGGAGGAGGGTTTCATGGTCTCTTTACCCCCAGCAGTGCCAGCTGACCTTCCCCTGGCTTCCTGCAGACCATCCTGCAGCCGTTTGAACAGCACTTTTTGGCCTCTTCACAGTCAAAGTCATGAGTGCAGGTCTTCAGCATCTCATCCAGGCATGGTCCCAGGGACCCCCGCAACAGCAAGGGACACACTCCAGGCTTCCCTGCAACCAGAGAGTAGCCTGAGGCCCCTGCCTCTCCCCCCACCCCCCCTAACAAGCACCTGGGTTCCCCTTCTGCCTTGGATCCCTGTCCAGCCCCTCCTTGCCTCCCCTCCCCTTCCACTTGCTTCATCCCTCAAGAACATTATGTTCTTCTGAATGTCCTTCAAGAACTTTATGTTCATCCCTCAAGAACATTATGTTCTTCTGAACGTCCTTCAAGAACTTTATGTTCATCCCTCAAGAACATTATGTACTTCTGAATGTCCTTCAAGAACTTTATGTTCATCCCTCAAGAACATTATGTTCTTTTGAATGTCCTTCAAGAACTTTATGTTCATCCCTCAAGAACATTAAGTTCTTCTGAATGTCCTTCTAGAAAACAAAAACTGCACTGGCCCTACCCACTAGGTGTCTTCACCTTCGCTTCCTTAGATTTGGAGTGAGGTCCCTGGAAAGGCTGTGCAAAGCCAGAACGTACCTGGGGGAGGCCCTTGGCACTGGAAACCACAAGCCGTGGGGCGGCATATCTCCTCCTTTGAACAATCGGAGTCCTCTCTACAGCGATCTTGGCATTTTGGTGCTGGTGGGTCTGTGCAACCACCAGGAACTTCTGTGGAAAGAGAGGTCCTTCTGTGACACCCATTCTTCTTAAAAGGGAGAAGCCTAAGGAACACTGATCTAGACTGAAATCATGGAGAAGATCCATGGGGATCTGATGCTTCTAGGAAAAATAATATGACGTGATATGGGGCAGGCACAGCCTTGGGACACACGTGGGTGTGTGAGGGGAGTGCTTCCAAAGACAAATGACAGCCTTGTTGTTGTTTCCTCTAAAGTGAAGGGATCAAAGAGAGAAGCAACCTGGAACTAAGGAGAAACTTCCTAACAGGGAGGACAATTAACCAGTGGAACAGCTTGCCTCCAGAAGTTGTGGGTGTTTCATCAGAGGAGGTTTTTAAGAAGAGGCTAGACCAGGGTTAGGCAACCTTGGCTCTTTTATGTCTGGTGGACTTCAACTCCCAGAATTCCTGAGCCAGCCTGGCTCAGCTTGGAAACCTCTCCCTTTCCCCTCAGCATGGCTGGCTCAGGAATTCTGGGAGTTGAAGTCCACGAGTCACAAAAGAGCCGAGCTTGCCTACCCCTGGACTAGACAGTCACTTGTCTAAAATGGTGTAGGTTCTCCTGCTTGAGCAGGGGGATGGACTAGAAGACCTCCAAGGTCCCTTCCAGCTCTATTCTATTCTACTAGGTTCCTGGCCTGAGATAAATCACGTTAAAATGATGCAAAAATCTAGGGATGGGGAGGGGGGCTCCTGATTGTTTCCTCACCCAACACTGCCCCTCCTCATCACATCTCATTTCGGTGCCCACCTGGCAGGACTGGGGAAGAGGCCAGGTGAGGTCCCCTCCCTTTCCTTGCCCTGCAGTGGGGTGTGGGGGGGGGGAGACGGGGGAGGCTGTCCAGACCTTCTCGAGCATCTCTGGAGGCAGCAGCTGCATCTGTTGGGGTTCCTCCCCACCACACTTGTGGCTGCATAGCTGAGAGTGGGGTCCCCCCAATACAGGCAGTCCTTGACTTGCAAGCTTTCCTTGAGTGAGCATTTGAAGTCACCATGGCAATGAAATGACCGTTTTTCACACTTACGACCGTTGCAAAATCCCTGGGATCACATCATCAAAATTCAGGACTTTGGCAACTGACTCCTATTTATGACGGTGGCTGCGTCCCGGGGTCACGTGATCCGCTTTTGCCACCTTCTGACAAGCAAAGTCAACGGGGAAGCCCGTTTCACTTAATGACCGAGTGACTTAAGAACTGCAGTGACCCACTTAACAACGGTGGCAGGGAAGGTTGTAAAAGGGGGCAAAACTCAATAACTGTCTCACTTAGCAACAAAATGTTGGGTTAATATTGTGGTTGTAAGTCGAGGACTCCTGTGCATTCTCTGGAGGCCATCAGTGGACAACTACAACCCCCTGGAGCCAAGGAGGACCCCCCTTTGGCCCCTTTTTCTGGCCCTGAGACCCCCAAAGAGCTGCCACGGAGCAGGTCTCCTCGCTGGTCCAGTCTGTCAGAAAGATTCCCCCCTTGTTCGAACTCTCTGCCCTCCCAGGATGCCGTCCAGGGGCCAAAGGCCCAGCCGTTGTGTTCTGGGCCGCAGGCAGAGGCCTACCAGGACCCCTCCCTCCCCCCCCCCTCTTTCCACCTGGGAAGGATGCCTCTGGGGCAGGGAGGTTCCTGGCCAGGAACTGTCCAGCTTGTCAAGGAATGTTTCTTTGCAAAAAAGTTGGCAGCGTCTCCGCTTTTGTTTCTGGTTTCCAAAAGCCAGGTGGGGGCCGCAGTCTCTGGTGCCAAGGCCAGGAAGGCAGGGAGGGGGTGGGGGTGATGCTCAGCGGGGTGCTACCTGCTCTGGGTCGCAGGCACTCCAGGCCGCAGCCGGAGAAGCAGCACTTCAGGCCGGGGGGGCAGCCTCGGTCGTCATCACATTGGTTCCGGCAGGGGGTCCCGGTGGGCAGAGCCCGCCTCCTCGGGCACAGGCCTGGTCGGGCTGCGGCAGAGGCAGGAAGAGGCGGGTGATGAGCAGAGGCTGCACAGGGCAGGGGCCTAACCCCAACCCTAACCCTAACCCCAACCCTAACCCTAACCCCAACCTTAACCACAACCTTAACCCTAACCCTAACCTTAACCCTAACCCTAAATCTAACCCTAACCTTAACCCCAACCTTAATACTAACCCCAACCTTAACCTCAACCTTAACCCTAACCCTAACACTAAACTTAACCCCAACCTTAAACCTAACCCTAATCCCAACCTTAACTCTAATCCCAACCTTAACCCTAACCATAACCCTAACCATAGCCCCAACCTTAACCCCAACCCTAATCTTAACCCTAACCCCAACCCTAACCCTAACTCCAACCCCAACCCCAACCCCAACCTTAACCCTAATTCCAACCCCAATCTTAACCTTAACCCTAACTCCAACCCCAACCTTAACCCCAACCTTAATCCTAACCCCAACCTTAACCCCAGCCTTAACCCTAACCCCAACCTTAACCCCAACCTTAATCCTAACCCGAACCTTAACCCCAGCCTTAACCTTAACCCTAACTCTAACCCCAACCTTAACCTCAACCTTAACCCCAACCCTAACCCCAACCTTAACCCTAACCCTAATCCCAACCTTAACTCCAACCTTAACTCTAACCCCAACCTTAACCCCAACCCTAACCCCAACTCCGACCTTAACCCCAACCCTAACCCTAACCCCAACCCCAACTGTGTGGTGCTTGACCTTGAGCCTGGCTGGACCGCAGCGGCCAGAGGGGCCCCTCTTCCTTGTCCCCCTCCCCAGAGACCCTCCCCCTCCCAGCCAGGGTGAGCCCCCTCACCTGGCTCTGCCACCACACACCGCAGCTGGCAGTCCTGAAGGCAGCATTTCTGCCCGGGGCCACAGGCGGCATCCTCCAGGCAGGAGACCCGGCAGGGCTCCAGGGCGGTGGGGCAGGCCGTGGGGCAATAGCTGGGGTTCACTGTAAAACAAGGGGTAGAAGCGAAGGCCCCGCTGGCCCCGCCCAGCAGCCTGGGCTCCGCTTGACTCCTGCCCTCGACCCCGGGGAAGGCCAGGCTGGCTCAGCCCTGGGCAGAGAGACCCTTTTCGCCCATGGGGGCAGAAGCCCTCCCCCTTCAAGGGGCCCAGAGCAGTGCAGGTAGTCCTTGACTTACAACAGTTCATTTAGTGACTATTCGAAGTTACAACGGCGCTGAAAAAAGTGACGTGACTGAGGGATCCTTGGTTCCTTTTTTGTAGACATTTCGTTCGCCAAACTAGGGAACTTCATCACTGCAATCCCCCCTCCCCTTCTAGCACTGATGATGTTCCCTACTTGGGTCATGAAACGCCTGCAAGAAAACAGGCAAGCTCAGAGGGCACCTTCTCCTCCCCCTCTCATCCACACACCCCACTGCCTTCTAGCACTGATGGTGTTCCCTACTTGGGTCATGAAACGCCCGCAAGAAAATCACCCAGCTCAGAGAGCACCAAGGGCCCCATAGTCCTCCTCCTCCTCCTCCTCCTCCTCCTCCTCCTCCTCCTCCTCCTCCTCCTCCTCCTCCTCCTCCTCCTCCTCTCAGCCACCCCTACTCCCTTCTAGCACGGATGATGTCGCCTAATTGGGTCACAAAACGTCTGCAAGAGAAAACAACGAAGCTCAGAGAGCACCCAGGATTCCTCATTTCAGCCCTGAGAAACAAATATTCTCCTTCATTGACTTAGGACCATTTTTCACACTCAGAACCATCACAGCCTCCCTGTGGTCATGTGACCAACATTGAGAACGCAGAGCAAAACTGGCTCATATTTACCACGATTGTGCAGCGTCCCGGGGTCATGTGATCACGTTTTGGGACCGTCCAACAAGCAAACTCGACGGGGGGAGCCAGATTCACTTAACAACCGTGTTACCAACTTAACAGCTGAAGTGATTCATTTAGCAACTGTGGCAAGAAAAGTCATAAAAATGGGGCAAAGCTCTCACTTAACGACAGTCTCGCTTAGCAACGGAAATTTTGGGCTCATTTGCGATGGTAAGTCGAGGGCTGCCTGCAGCTGGGCCCCCTTGGTGGCATCACCTTCACAGTGTGACTGTGGCTGTCTTCCAGCCGGGGCTCGCAGCTGCGGCCAGAACAAGCAGGAAGGCAGCCAGCAACTGTACCAAACAGAAGAAGCAGGCAGAGATTGCAGCGCCTGCTGACCCCCTGCTCCCCCCCCCACAAGGGGAGCCCCCTCCCGTGGATGCCCTCCCCTCCCAAACATTGAAAACCAGGCTGGTGAGGGGCCCTGTGGGGTGAGTCACGGGGCAGCCCCCCTCTCTTGCAGCCCCCCCTACCCAGCGCAGGCTGCACGCAGATCATCATTCGGCCCAGGCTGCAGCACTTCTGCCCCCCTAGGCAGGACTCATCCGAGAGGCAGTAGAGCTTGGAGGGCAGGGGCTCCTGGGCGCTTCCCAGCGGGCACCGGCCGGCCTTCCCTGGCACCGGGGTTGTTTCCGTGGCAGCTGTGAAGAGGAGGCAGAGGTCAGGACGGACGGGCCATCTTTGTGTGTGGGGGTGCCAAGGCTGGGAAAACTTCTTGTGCTCCTGGCTGGAGACCCAGTGCCTCTCCTGCCCTCCTCCCCCCCATAGCAAGCCTGGCCCTTTTCCCAAGACTGGCATCTCACTTTTGGGGTAGGGATTCCCATAGGTTCTTTGATCACCCCCCCCCCCCATGTCTGCCCTTGTGCCGTCTTTGCTCTGGGGTCCCTCTTACAGCTACCCACTCCAGGGAGGTGCCACACCCAGGAACTCCTTCCTTGGTTCCCGTGTCCTACAACCAGACTCACATTAGATGTCGTGCCCCTGGGAGTGGGGAGGGGGCATTCAGGCTCTGGAGCATGGACACCCCCCTGCCCTCTGGGCCTCACTTCCTGCAGGAGAGCTGCAAAGGCGCCACTCACCTGCCCTCCCATTCTCAGCCGTGGAGCTGACCATCCCCAGGAGGAGCCAGAAGGCCTGAGACTTCATGGTGCCGCTTGGAAGAGGATGCCAAGCCGCCCCCCCCCCCTTGCCCTATATAGCTGGCCAGGCAAAGGGGGCGGAGCTGGGTCCCTCACCCCCCCCCACCTCAGTTCTCTCTTTCAGCCAGGGCTCCTGGGGTTCCCACGCAGCACTGACACGCTGCCCTCCCTCAAAGCTTTGCTGGCATCTCCCGGGGCAGAAGTGATGGATGGCGCGTTCATCCGGATGGGAGTGGAGCCAGCAGGCCAGCGCATTGTCCCTGGCGCTCTGCTGGGTATCCAGCCTCTGATCCGCCTCCAATTGGGCAGGGCTGCCCCTTTCTCCGGATGGGACTGGCACCCGGGCAAGTGGTCACCCAGGGGCTCCATGCGCCCCCCCCCAGCAGCAGGCCAGAACGCTATTGGCTGGGCACAATGAAACATTCAGAGGGCAGACTCACCTCAACTTCCTTGGTTTGTGCCAGGCTGCTGTTCTCCAACTGCTTGGCACCCGTTTGGGTGAAAACTCCAGAGCAGAGCAACAAAGATGATTAGGGGACTGGAGGTGAATCCATACGACAAATGGATGAGAGAATTGGGGATGCCTAGTTTAATGAAGAGAAGGATGAGGGGGGGACATGATAGCAGTGTTCCAATATCTCAGGGGCCGCCCCAAAGAAGAAGTAGTCAAGCTCTTCTCCAAAGCGCCTGAAGGCAGGACAAGAAGTAACGGATGGAAACTCATCAAGGAGAGAAGCAACCTGGAACTAAGGAGGAATTTCCTGACAATGAGGACAATTAGCCAGTGCAACAACCTGCCCCCAGAAGTGATGAATGCTCCCACACTGGAAGCTTTCAAGAAGAGACTGGACTTAAGGGAGAATTTTTATAAAATGTTTTATAGATGGCACCTTGATCCACAAAAAATGTCTTTTATGTACCCTGACTTACAACCTAAATGTTGGAGATGTGGTTGTATGGACGCTACTTATTATCATATTTGGTGGTCGTGCAGAGAGATAAAAGCATTCTGGATTAAGATATGGTGGAATATCCAGAGAATTTTTAAAAGGAGGGTAAAATTTACTCCACAATTATTTTTGTTAGGTATAGTTATTGATTGTGATACAAAGGAGGTTATATTGATGTTAAATTTGATTACAGCTGCGAGGCTGTTAGTAGGACAATATTGGAAGAAGGAATCTTTGCCTACATTGCAGGAATGGTTTCTTAAAGTGTCTCATTTGGCGGAAATGGCAAAGATTTCGGCTTTCTTAAAGGGACAAACGCAAGAGAAATTTCTTGCTGTTTGGGATAAATGGATAAAATTCATACAATTTAAATTTGATATAAAAAATACTATATAGTTTTTTCATAATTTTTAACTCTCTCTCTATATATATTTTCTATTTTATATTCTCTTTTTTTATAAATATAATTTTTTTTAACTTTTTTTAAATTAAGCCTATATTCTGCTCTGGGAGGCCCTGGGGGGGGGAAGGGGGGGTTTGGGTAGGGGTGGGGGAAGGGGGGTTTTGTTGGGTAATGTTTGTTTTTTATTTGTATATGTTGTTTTTTGTTTTTGTATTGTCTTTTATTTTCTGTAAAATTTATAAAACTTTTTAATAAAAAAAAAAAAAAAGAAGAGACTGGACAGCCATTTGTCTGAAATGGCAGTGGGTTTCCTGCCTGAGCAGGGGGTTGGACTAGATGACCTCCAAGGTCCCTTCCAACTTTATTATTATTATTATTATTAATATCTCAGGGGCTGCCCTAGAGAAGAGGGGGAGGGTCAGCCCATTCTGCAAAGGACCTGAAGGCAGGACAAGAAGCAACAGAGGGAAAATAATCCAGGAGAGAAGTAACCTAGAACTAAGGAGAAACTTCCTGACAGTGAGGACAATTAGCCAGTGGAACTACCTGCCTCCAGAAGTTGTGAATGCTCCAACACTGGAAGTTTTTAAGAAGAGACTGGACAGCCATTTGTCTGAAATGGTATAGGGTTTCCTGCTTGAGCAGGGGGTTGCACTAGAAGATCTCCAAGGTCCCTTCCAATTCTAGTCTTCTGTATTCTGCCTTATGGGGCCATAGGGTAGACTTGCCCTCTGCTCCCCATGCTGCATTTTCAGATACTGGAGTCCCTTTTTATAATATTTGGGGTTCCCTCAAATTTTCCAGTTTGTTCTTCGGAATTGGAAGAAAGTCAGGATTGATGGAGAAAAATGACCTTGGACACAAATATTCAGTTGAACCCAAATGCATGAAATGTTCAACGTTGCAATCATTACCAAAATCACAACACACACACACACACACACACACACACTGCTTTGAAAGAGGAATCTGCATGTGGCAACTACCAGTTGAAGAAGGGAAGTTAACTTTGAGTGCAGGCAAGTCTGCAGGAACAAAGAACTCTGAGGATTTAACAGAATGACAGACTTAGAAAGGGGCCTTGGAGGTCTTCTAGTCCAGCCTCCTTCTCAGGCAAGAAACACCGTGACTATACCATTTGAGACAAATGACTGTCCAGTCTCTTCTTGAAGACCTCCAGTGATGGAGGACCTACAACCTCTGGAGGGAAGCCCTTCTACTGATTAATTGTTCTCACTGTCAGGAAGTTTCTCCTTAATTCCAGGTTGCTTCTCTCCTGGATGAGTTTCCATCTGTAGCTTCTTGTCCTGCACTCAGGTGCTTTGGAGAATAGCTTGACTCCCTCTTCTTTGGGGCAGCCCCTGAGACACTGGAAGACTTTGAGCTCTGCTTGAGAGCTACGATTTGTCCCCTCTGAAATATGCCTCTGTTTGTGTGGGGATCCCTACCTAGCCCACAAGACTGATGTTGCAAGATTTTTACTTAATACATACAACGCACAAAGAGGTGGGGCCTCCTGCATCCTGGCTGTGACCTTCTCAGGTTCTCACTCTTAGTGCTTTCAATCAGGGGGTCCTTTGTAATCCCAACATGCAAACACCGATTGTAATTTAGGATCCCGGGAGGAGTAACAGCCCCAGGGCTCTCCTGGCTCTGCTCCCGCACAAAGGCCGATTGTAAGCACAAGGGAGCTTTCATGGATAAAGGGGGAAGTTATCATCCCCAGCTGCCTGGCTTACCTGAGCAGGGAAAGGTCACCTGTCTGTTTTGTTGAGAAGGTGATTCCTGTTTCTCTTGTTCCCACAAGGGCCCTTTTCACATCTCACTTCCTCAAGGCAGGACTTAAAGGTCCATCAGCCCCGTCCAGTCTGCTGTTCCTGGCACCATGAAGGCTACGCACGGTCTCCTCCTTCTGGGTCTCCTCATCCTCCTGGCTGAGTCGCCCCTGTCAATGGGACGAAAAGGTAAGGGGGGGGGGGAATCCCCAAATTCTTACATCTCTGAACCTTTGTGTGGTCTTCAGACCCACCTGGTCCTCCTCCCCTCTTCTCTTGGAATAGGTCAGAGACGGACGAAGGTGGAAGGGACCCCAATGGACGTCTGGCCATCTGAGAAACGCAATTAATCTTCTAATAAAGGAGACTATTTGGAGCTCAAGATTGAAATGAGGGGTCCTTGGTGCGCTCTGAGCTTCACAGTTTTCTTGCAGACTTTTCGTGATGCAACCGTGTAATTTCATCAGTGCTAGAAGGGAGGGGGGCTGCAGAGTGGAGAAGGAGGAGAAGGGAGGAAGAAGAGGAGAGTGTGGGGTCCTTGGTGGACACTGAGATTGACAGTTTTCTTGCAGGCATTTCATTCCCCAAACTAGGTAAACTCATCAGTGTCCCCCCTCCCTTCTAGCACTGATGATGTTCCCTAGATGGGTCATGAAACACCTGCAAGAAAACCACCCAGCTCAGAGAGCCCCAAGGACCGCACAGTCTTTCTTTCTTTCTTTCTTTCTTTCTTTCTTTCTTTCTTTCTTTCTTTCTTTCTTTCTTTCTTTCTTTCTTTCTTTCTTTCTTTCTTTCTTTCTTTCTTTCTTCTTTCTCCTTCCTTCCTTTCTTCCTTCCTTCCTTCTCCTCCTCCTCCTCCTAGCACTGATGATGTTACCTAATCTGGGTTATGAAATGTCTGCAAGAAAACCACCCAGCTCAGAGAGGACCAAGCACTCCTCCTCGTCCTCCTCCTCCTTCTCTTCCTCCTCCTCCTCTTCCTCCTCCTCCTCCTCCTCCTCCTCCCTACAAACTCCACTCCCTTCTAGCTCTGATGATGTTCCCTAGTTGAATCATGAAACATCTGCAAGAAAACCACCAAGTTAAGAGAGCACCAAGGACCCCACCGTCCTCCTCCTCCTCCTCCTCCTCCTCCTCCTCCTCCTCCTTCCTACAAACTCCATTCCCTTCTAGCTCTGATGATGTTCCCTAGTTGGATGATGAAACGTCTGCAAGAAAACCACCCAGCTCAGAGAGCCCCGAGGACCCGTCTTCTCTTAGTTTGCTGAAATTAGCCTTTGAGCCATTAGTGCTTTGAATATGACTAGTGTTTACCAAGCACAGCCCTTTGTGCTCAGGGTCTCACCTTCAGTCAATCCCTCCGGATTAGATGGTGCTCATTATTGGGGTTTCCCCCTGGGACCAGATCCACCTACTTCTGCTCCCCACACTTACTCTCAAGTGCTCTGGACCCACTTTTCCAGTTCTGGGGAAGAACATCCCAGCTGTTCCCAGGAGATCCTCACTGCAGACCCCTCCCCGCTGGTATCATTT